TGTAGCTAGATGGTAAAACTTTTAATGAAACATATTATTAATTAAAATTATTTATTTACTAAATAAAGTATCAATTAAAAAATGGCATTCCTCATTGATTAATAATAAAAATTAAACATTAACTGGGCACTTACCAAGAGTACATCATTCTAAGAGGGATGGTGCTCGTGTCGCTCTTCAAAACCAAGTGATTATTTATTTCTAATATTTTATAAAGGCAGTTCGGATTCATGTACTTTTGCTTGATCAGGTAATTCGTTGAACCGCGTTTACTGCTGGCTTTGCAAGTTCAACGAATTTCCATAAAAGTATCAATTAATTAAGAAACCTGAATTTATACTTTCTAATGATATCTTTAATTAAGCTAAACATGAATGAGAAAAGTTAAAATAATAATTTAAAATTATGATATAAATATTTCTTACTAAATGAATAATTCTTTATCAATTTTACCTATAGTACATGAACCGTAAATATATTATTTGAAAATACCTTTTATTTCTAGAGGAACTTTGTAAATGGTGCTTTTTAAAAATGGTTTATAACAACAAATCGAAATTTTTAGTCCTAATTTATGTAAAAACAATCACAAAAGGTGTTTAGTGGCTGGTTATTGTATTTTAGTTTTATTTGTCTTATCTTTTCTGACTTTTTTTTTAGTGTGTCATCGGCTTCAACTACTAAGGTTATTTCGCCTCGTGTTCTGTATAGGCTTTGTTACTGTTTCCCTGTTGTTACTGTTACTTTAGGAACAGCACTGTTAACCCAACGGGTGAATGGTCGAATGGGGAATCCTACTAATGCATCAGAATTACTTTTAAATAAATAAATTAAATAAAAAAATCCCGGCCAACGGTGGGATTAGAATCTGGAACCCTTGGATCCACAGGCAGAGGCTCTACCACTGAGCCACCCACCCCCCTTAATTTCAGTTTCAAACTGAGACATATAATATGAACTATCCTTCACTTGGTTAATAACAAATATATTGAAAAGAGTCGATACGCCTCAACACACTTCTTTAGAGGCACATACTTTGATTTTCTTTTACTATACGGAGAATGGTCGCACTGCGCAGCTTTCTGAGTGCCTTTTAAAAGGAGATAGAAAACTCCGCCATTTTGAACCCTTATTACGTGTTGCCTACATCTTGGCGCAATATTTTTAATAGGTGCGTTTTAATCATCCGCTTCTGCTTTGGAATTGTCGGTTTTCTTTTTTAATCTGACAGGTTAGAACGACTAAACCGACAATTCCGGAAGCAGAAGCGGATGATTAAAACGCATCTGATATTTTGCTTGATGCTGTCAGTGTCAGTGAATATTATTTTTGGAGTAACAGTTTATTGCTAAAGAATCAGTTAGCTCACTCGGACCAGTTGAAAGTTCCAAAATAACATCCACTCCAGGGGTACAAATTCAGAATACGCAGAAGACTGCTGTTTTATTATAGGCGGTTGTCATATATTGTATTATCTGAGTTGCGCAGTGTATAAACTGGCACATTGAGATAAAAAGTGCCGTCGCAGAGTGAGCGATCTGATTCTTTAGCTATAAACTGTGTCATAGGGTTCAAAATGGCCGCGCCCTATGTTGGGCGTGTCGGACCTCTCTCTTGCCCCGTATAGTAATCAAAGTATGTGTGTCGAGGTGATATCCACATGTAAAATTCCTCAAAAATATTGTATTATATATTAGGCATTCCAACGACCTGTCCAAATGGCTACCAGTGGGTAATGACTGTTGTCATGTTGTCATTAACAGGGCCAATGATACATATATAGTTATATAGATTGCTTAAAGCTGGTCGTTTACTAGCGGCCATATTGCCTGGCAAATATTTATTAATTTGAATCGATTTAGAAAAAATGTGTTTTAAAACTAATTTTTAACCTTTAGACATTAAAAAAAAATAATTGCTTACATTTTTACTTTAAGGCAAAAGCTTATGTTTATTTTGAAAAATATGGATGATCAATCTATGTAACTATCTATTTCATTGACCTTGTCAAATCACTAGGCCTACAGGGTTGCCATCATTTTGTTATATCATAACCCGTCAAAACCCACTGGTAGCCATTCAGTTTGGAATGCCTAATTGGCCCGGGCCAACAACGCGTCCAGATTCGTTAGATTTATTTGGCCCGGCTCGTGGCAGACACACAGCACCGAACAAAGCTAACGATCTCTTAAGGTGCGTATAGATATAACGGGCTGGTCCTGGGCTGGGACCAGGCCAACAACAGGCTCAAGTTCGTCATAGGAACCTTGATCCGTTATTGGCCTAGGCCTGGCCCATTATATCTATATGCACCTTTAGAGATTAATGATGTACTGATGTCAAATATTAATTTAATGTGTCAACCAAAGTAAAAGCAGAAATTAAAAGTGAACGATGTAGAAATAAAATTTTAGAAACGCTAGTAAATGTTCTGTCACAGTTTATATTATACCCTTAGATTATACAAACCTTAGATGGAACATGAAGACACTGCGCATAATCCCATTTCAAAATTATTCACACCCACCAATCACAGTTAAGAACATCACATGTCAGAGCGTTGTCTATTCAAATTTAATGTGTCAACCAGAATTAATTTGGTATTTTAGTGACTTAAATTTTGTAAATTAACGTTAAAAATGCCAAGATGTGTTGTAAAAAGTTTTATTTGTAATAAAAGTGCGGAATGTGATGGAGATAAAAGAAACTTATATTTATTTCGGTGAGATATTTAATTTTTAAAGATTCTGTCGACGTCCATATTTGTTGATTTAAAAATAAACAGAATCGGACTTGGTCATTGGTACATGTTATAAGTAGCAAATAAAGGTTAT